TCTCCCTTAAATTTAGATTTTTATGGGAGACTTAAAAGTGTCCCTTAAAAAAGGGGATTTTAAGGTCTAAATTTTTTTACCTATACATATTTATTCCACTCAAGGTGTGATTTATTTATTTTCTATTAAGTTTTATATCATGATATACTGTATATCGTTACCACCACCCATCATAATGTATATCGTGATATGAATTTTTTGCCATATTGCACATTCCTAGTCTGCTCCAATCGCCACTTTCTCCTCCCTGGGAATACTATCTATCCCTGCATCCATATCCTCACAGAATCTCTCTTTATCCCCTGCCTCACATCCAGCCTGTGGAGCATAACCATAACAACATTCAACATCAGATCCTCTACCTTCAGTCATATCACCCCGTCTCTGACACTCCACCTCTCCTGTGTTCTATGTAAAGATCTCCTTCAGCACCACCACTGCTCCATTTCTCTTTTAATCTGAATTGTGGTAAAACAGCTTAAACCCTACCTCTGCTACCAGCCTTACTGCCTTTCCACTTGGTTTTTTGCTCATGTAAAACATCTGTATCATGACAGCCAGTTCTCCACCTTGCCCTGTCGTTGTCCCTACATTTAGAGTTGCTACCTTCAGTCCTACACGCTGCTCTACTGACACGTTTCTCGACTAACAGCAGCACAGTTTTTGCCAGCACCCTGTTTGTCAAAAGCACTAATGATGATTGTTGACCCGAGGATTGACCGATCCAGTATGGTGATATTTAGTGTTTGACATTAGGTGCCCTTCCTGACACTGGGCCTGGCACAGGCACAAGAGAAACTCAGGCTTGTTCTCCTTGGAGGGATCCACAATTACCTGTAACATTAGGCATTATTTGATAAACATTTACTTCAACTGTAAACAGAGACTGTAAAAATACTGTAGGCTGTTCAGTTTTTATAAATTTTAAGAAATATAGTGTCACACGGATGACAACGCCATTTTATTAGCGTTGCAAAGCATACTGGGTAAATGATGGCGTTCACTAGGTTTTCTGGTGCAAGGCTGTGCGAGTGGAGCAAGGTCTTATCCACCCTAAAGGTTAATCTTGGAAAATGTCTGACATTCAGCCCTTTTTAAATGAAACCAAAAACTTAGGATGTTTTCTATTTGACAAAGGATTAGAGGACACAAAGTCAACACAATATTCTAATAATAACAATGTAAGCTCCCCAAGCGTGTGTGTTTGGACTGCAGGTCGTTTAGTCAAGGTTTTATAAAATGCAAGACAAAAATTTGGATGTAGTACTTTTCTGAAGCCAAATCCCTACCTGTTTGACTCTTTTAAGATGTATTTTCTAATGGGTTATTGTAAGGCTGGGCGATTTGGCCCCAAAAAAATCTGATTTTTTTCATCCCAAATTCAATTTTTGATTTCAATCAATTTTGTTTCCCTCTTACCGGAGTGCCACTATTTCAGGTGTTGATACAAATTTGTTTTACTCCTGCTTTTTGTAGCAAGARCCTTCAAACAGATTTTGCAGTGAGGTGTTTGTTGCTCCAAGTCCGAGGTTGCAAAACCTAACTAACCAGTTCCAGAAAACTGAAGAAATTGTGTCTTTTTTGAGAAGTAGATCCTCTTTGCCAGCTGCTGTATTATCATGTCATGTATGTACCAAGCATCTTGAGGGACAGGTGGGCTGACCTCTGAACTACAGAAACCCCAAAGAGTGCACTGGTGGGAAAAAAATCTCGATATTCCCAAAATTAAATCGATTTATCACCCAACCCTAGGTTATTGTCATGCATACATATGTTTATCTATAGATGTGCAGTGGAAAAGTACATTTATTTTTTATAGAATAATACATCATGCATAATCCTTTTTAATAACAAATCATCCAATTGTAGGCATTTTGAAGGTTGTAGGCTTGCTCCATGAGTAGCAGATGTCTTGTACCAGCAGTTAGGACTATTTCCAGTTATCCTCTAAAACTTTGTTTTGTCAGCACATGTTTTGGAGGGCTTCAGGCAGTACCGCTGTCCTCTGCCAAGGCCAAGAAGCTTTCTAGGAATACATATCAGTAAGCAGTCAGTCTCAAAAACATTTACTTTTTTAACTTGGAGGCTGCTGTAGGAGAAAGGTGGATCTGTAACCAAACTGAATTGGCTGCGTTTTATGGCTCACCTTTGTCCTAAATCCACTCGGAGTATTCTATCTGGAGGCTTTGTTTGTGAGTGACAAAGTCAACTTTAGTGAGGCCTTGTTGAGCATGTCAGCACCAGGTGCAGATTATTTTGAGCTGGTCCTGATATTTCAGCACATTTGCACAGACATGGGTTCTCACTGAGCTTACTGCTTTAAATAGGTTTGTGCTCCCATGTGGTTTAAGTCAAACTACAGGACTTAAAGCATTTGACTTCTGGGAAGGATCCCCCCCATTGGACCGAAGATGGTGATGATGAGGAGTCAGGAATAAATATAGTGAAAGCTGTTGGATAGAAATGTTTCAGAGGCTCAGATTATTCAAACTTGTCAGTGTTGAATATTTAAACTTTATTTTTCTTCTTTTAATTTATAAATGACCGTATGACACATGTAACGTTATAATCTTATTTATGTGTAGATATGGTTTGAGGATGAAACCACATTCATATTTTCACTGTGTGTTATTAAAACAGAGGGGTGCTGAAGGGAAATTGTCCATATAACCACTCCCCTAGTCATCATGTTGTCTCTCCATGTTGCTCACACCATCTTTCTCTGTACTGCTGGCTACTGCACACACACTCACGTTGCTTTACGGAGAATATTATTGGTACAGCAAGTAGAAAATATGTGAGTATATTACACTTTGAGAATTAAAAAATTAAATTGTCTTCCTGCTGGCTAAATCTGACTTTATTGGAAAAGCAAGGCAGATTTAGTCACAGTTAAGTTTTGACATACCCACTGACTTGATTTATTTGAAACTCCTCTGCATGTGTGAGTCAGTTTGTGAGACAGTTTTGTGTTGAATGATAATCCTGTATGCCTTAATGGACTTGCTGAATGTATTTCAGAGTTCTTATTTGTGAAGGAACTTCTAATTTAAACAGACTTTTTGTTTCACTAATTGTGTTTTGGTCAGAGTCTGCTTGGATACATTCAGACATTTTTACCCTGACTTTTCCAGCAGTGTGAAGTTGAGATTGTTTAAAGCACAATATAACACCTCCAAGCCTCTGGAGTGAAACAGTACACAGCCAGTGACTGTGGTCTATTCTGGACAGACTGGGGATTGAAAGATTGTGTGATGTAAGGGTCTATTTTGTTCCAAACACTCAGTTGAATAACTCTGTACCCATTCAACCCTGGATGAGACTCAAAAATGCTCTCTGTCTGCCTCTTTGTTATCAGTCTGTTTCCTTGATAAATTAATATAAATTACAGACAAGAAATAAATGAAGATACAAAAACAAAAATTCAAAATAACATAATAATATGGTGATTTCTCTTTTGCTGCAAGGTTTTAATTTTTATTCTGGAGTGATGGGAAAAGCTACTTTGGGAATCAGAATGTAAATTATTTGAAGACCCTAGATGGATTAAAATTAAGGAAATGTTTATAAAATTATTGACCCACTAAGACTGTCACTGAGTTGTCACTTCAGACTCAGATCAACCAAAAACCCCATTAAAGAGTTCATCAGCCTCCACTCAGTTCAAGCATTTCACACTGTTTAGGGGATTTATCTGTGATAAGTTTCTTAAAATGATAGGGTGTGTGTAATATGTGACTGCGTCACACCAAACTGAGAATTGAGTCAGATTTGGTGAAAATGACCTAAACACATTTTGGATTCCTGGATAATTTTGAGCTACATTTTGATACCTGGATCATCCTGACATTTTGAGCGGTTTCAGAGATATGCCTTGATTTGTCTTGTTAATCACGATAATACATTGATATTTGGTCTGAATACTATCTTTTGGGGTTATTTTAATGAGGACATTTTGATGCCATCTTAAAGAGAAACTGCAAATATTGTTTGGATTTTGAGATTTACCAGATGGAAAGAAAATATCTTTGCTAGTTGCAGGAAAATGACAAAAATATATGGTGTTTTTGCTCAAAATTAGTTTTTTTTTTTTTTTTTTTGCTACTGCTCAAAAATGTGCTTTCAAAATTGATTTAAGATTATATTTCAGGTATTTCATTCAAATTATTGATATAGAATTTATTCATTATATTTTGACAAAATGCAGTTATTGCAATTGTTTGGGATTTAATCCTCGTTTCGATGAGATGGATCACATTTATATATTTAAAATCMACGAGACAGTTGTTACACTTGTGAATATGCTATTCATTGAAAATGTGTCCTGTTGTTTAGATGCGTTGCTGGCAGACCTGGAATCAACAACATCCCACATCTCAAAGAGACCGGTCTTCTTGCCTGACGAAACCCCCTACTCCATCCCTACAGGAGGACACACATACCAAGATGTGCCCCCTCCAGTCCCTCCTCCACCGTCAGCTGAGGCTCTGAACGGCTCCCTGACTGATCAGCCAAACTCTCACCACTCCTCTCAGCAAGTAGGTGTCTCTTGTACACACTTGTGCGTAACTGATTGATCCAAATCACAGAAACTGGTTAAAGATAGTTTAGAATGAAGTAAATGATGAATTCCTCCTCCGCAGTCTTTAGGCTCTGGAAGGAAGAGCTCGTGGTCCAGGGACAGCAGCAGCTCTCCTCTGTCACACAGTGAAGAGGACCACGTTTACAGGTGTCCTCTGCTCTCACGAGATGTTCTCTGTTTAAAGAGAAACCCATTCGTTGGTATATTCTGTTACCTTCAATTATTCTTTGTGTCCTCCTCAGTTTTCCAAACAAACACAAGACTTCAGACTCGTCATCAGCAGCCATGACCTCTGTTCTGGGCAGTAACCTCTCAGAGCTGGACAGGCTTCTGTTGGAACTTAACGCAGTTCAACAGAGCTCTCCTTCCTTCCCCACTACAGGTACAAACAGCAACCTCATCTTATTTGTCTAGTTTCTGTTGAACAATGTTACTAAAATATCTGTTATTGTTCACAGAGGAGGCGGCTCCACCCTTACCATCCAGCAGCATCACCCACTATGAGAACGGCAGCACCCCTGACATCCATGTAAGCCCCCCAGCTCAGGAGAAACCCAAGAAAAATGGAACAAGACCAGAAGAAGCTCGACCTACAGTGGAAAGTCTGTTGGATGAGCTGGAGGGTTCAGTGCCTTCACCCAGGTAGGTTTCTTGTTGAAAAGTGTTGCTTCTCCTCTGTCTTTGTAATATTTCCTAACATTAGAAAAACTGAGTGTTCAAGAAGAATTAAAGGGTCACAACGGGCAGTGTGGTGCTACTGCATCACTTATTGAATGGAATTGTTTTTGCAACTGCAAAAAAATGATGCATTCCTAATGTCTGAACATTTTAATTGAAAGTTTGTGTATAAACAAAATATACTGTATATATTTTTTTGTTCTGTACGCCTGGGATTCTCAAAGTTTTTGGTTCTGGGGACCCCTTACAAGGATGAAAATTTTCCAGGGACCCCCTCATAAACCACATGCTGTCTTAAAAATAATTTCCTGTAATTTTAAGCCATAAATACTGTGGTGATATCATTTTTGTTTGGTTTATTATACCAGTGCATTGTTCCCCATATACTGTACTTTTTTATATATATATATAAACCAAATTAACAATTTAATGAAATTATTTGAGGCCCCCCAAGGTACTGCTCGCCAACCCCTGGGACCCCAGTTTGAGAACCTCTGCTATATGCAATAGGAATTATGTCTGACTCTGCATAAGGAAACTTTTTCTCTGTTAAAGTTATGATGAGACCGTTGCTTTTCTTCTGAGTTTTTGTGTAACGGAGCAAGTTACAGACTTGGTGCTTTTTTAAGCATTGATTTTAGCAGGTTTCCAGAAAAGCTGAGGCTGTTTTCTGATGAAAAGGATGACTACTCAATCTTCATGTGAATCAGTTCTGCAGCTGAATCACAGCAATGCTCATGCAATCTAACATTAACACTGATCTAATCAAACCTGGATGAAATTCATGTTATGCTATTACCACATAAAAATAACGCGTTAATCTCCATCACTACGAAAGCAGCAACTTTAAATTTAACTGCAACTAAAAATAGTAAACTTGATGCATTTAAAACATATACTGTATTAAAATTTTTAAAAAAAAATCTAAACTGCTTTGAACATGACATCATGCAACCCTATATAATGGATTAAAGCACAACTCGTCACCTCAGTGGTATACACACATGGCCAAGATTACTAAACTCAACAATCAATCAATCAATCAATCAATCAATCAATCAATCAATCCACAAGTCATTTCTCACTTCTTCCATCTTTCACACAGACATCATTTATCAATATGTCTCCTTTGTGACGCATAGACTGCTGTGTCCCAGTGTGACCTAAGATAGATAAATTGTGCCTGGTTGTGAATTCWGCTTTAACTAATTACATTATTATTTGTAATTTTCAGCTCTTCCACTCGTCACAATGAACTGGATACATCATCTCAACAACAAGCCAGAATTTCAGCTTCCTGCGCCACGAGAGAGCTCGATGAACTGATGGCCTCCCTGTCTGACTTCAAGGTGCCAAGACAGCATGACCAAACACCGGAACGGCTTTACCTTAATAAAACTCAAGTCTCTCCTGAAATGTTTATTTTCTTATGCTTCTCTGTTTTCTAGCCCAATTCTTTGGGCTCTGTGCTCGACCCAGCGGGGGCACCTTCCACCTTTCGTCATTCTCCCGTGTCGTCTTCTGTCACTCCAGCATCCTCTTTCTCCTTCAGTCTGTCCAACCCGCCTGCCTCCCCACCCCTTCCTTTGCCTGCTGGTCTAGAGCTGCACATAGATGAGGATGGAGGAGACGGTGGCGTGTTAATGCCCCGTCGGAGCCGTCCCACTCTCCACAGTCCCACCTCCTCCCTTTCTGCAGCCAGCGACATAGATGTGGACTCTGTCATAGATGGCTCTTCCACCGTGCTGTCATCCCAAACAAAGACCCTGCTAGTTCGCTCACAGTCTGCTCCCTCCAATTCCAGCTTGTTGGGAAATAGCCCAAGTCTTTCCAGTACCACCACCCCCTCTGTTAGCTCAGTGAACACTGTCCTGGACTGCAAGAGCCCCAAGTCCTCGAGTCCATCCGTGGAGCGGGTTTCACCCTCAGCTACTGTTGGTAAACTGTTCGGTGCTCCCGAGTCTCTGAGCAAGGGTTGTTTCCAGAACCATGATGTAAATTTTTCCAGTCCACCTCTTGTAGAAAGTTTCACTCCTCCCCTCCTCCACGTCGCTGCGTTTCCATCTTCATCAAAAACACGCTCACCACCTGCAGTCTCTCCACTGACGGTCCCGTCTCCGCTGACTCTCACCAGCGCCAACAGAGAGCTGCACGAGGTGCCACCTGCAGCTCAGAGAGACGCCCCCCTCGCCATGCGGCAGCCCCCTGTGCTTGAGCCCACCCTGGACGACGAATTAGACAAGCTGTTGGCGATGAGTTTCGAACAAGGTCCTGCAGCAGCACACGAGGAGGCACACTGCCACAGCAAACAGCTGCAGGAGGTGCTGGAGGAGCTCATCCTCCCCATCGACAGGAGCAGCGTGCAGCCCGACACGTTCACCAGCGCCACCAACACCCTGACAGACAACTCGGTGGACGGAGGCACCGATGGGAACGGAGACCTGGATTGGGGTGACGAGGAGCTGTCCGTGTCCTTACACGACGGGCTGGATGGCACCATGACGCCTTACACAGAGAGGCTGTACACAGACGGCAGCGTGACGCCGCTGACGGAAGCTAGCTGGATGGATGAGTGCACGACCCCCTCCTCGTGCCCCGGGACCCCTGACGTTGCCCTGGATCTGCCYCTCCTGCAGACACCCAGTATAGACAGAGTCTCTGCAACAGGACATGTATGCATCTGCACTTCAGTGTGACGCAAGTGTTGCTCCAGGCTAATGGTGCTTGTATGCATGCTAGCCTCTGCTTTAGGGGGCGGGGGTGGGAAGAGTATTATGTATTTAAATCCACTCTGGTACTCACTAGTTACAGTAATTCTTCTCATTTTAAGATAAAACAATCAAGTCTTCAGTGAGCAATATCAAGCAGTTTTATGAATTTTACATTTCACCTCACAAAACTAAACCCTGTCCTGTACCTTTTAAATGTCACTAAAGGATGTTGGTTCAGTATTGGACGCCCACCCATCTGGACAAAACTACATTAAATATCTGAAATGTTCTTATAACCATAAAAAACATTTTCTTTAGCAGAAGCTACCTGAATAGAAGACCTCTAACAGAGCTAAAAGTTTGATACTAAACTCACATTCACCTCACTGTTTGGTGCTGTTGGAGCAGTTTGTGCAAAGAAAACTAATGCAACTTTTCTAATTGCTTGAGAAACTTTGAACTCTGGGAACTCTGGATGGATGAAAGGTTATTGCATGCTGATGGGACCTAAGCATGCAATAAATACCACGATATGTGACCCACAGCCCCACTGATCACCACAGCATCCTGGCATGTTGCTTGTGCTGGTTTACCATGAGTATAAATGTAAGGTAAGGTGCTCCATGTTTCCTCTCAGCTGAAAGCAATGATCAAACGCACTAAGGAGATTCCCAATGTGCACCCCATGTACCGAGACAGCCACCTGCGCAGGAAGGTGGGACCCATCATTGTAAACAAGAACTCGTCTCAGGACCGTCTTATAGAGGAGCTCCAGGGTAAACTCGGGATCAACCGCTCTGAGCGGCGGCGCAAACAGTCGGACGAGTGGCTGACCGAGGGTGTAGTCGTCACGTCCAAACCTCAGCGTTTCCGTCCCGAAGGCTTTGGGAGTGAGGTCGATAAGGTTGGCTTCAGCGTGCTCCACAGTTTTACTCATGCTTGTCCTCTAGTTGTCTCCATTTCCCTCTCTGTTGGCTCCCTTCTGTCTGTTTTCTTTCTTCAGATGATTATTCCCCCTGAGTCTCCTGTGGCCGTCAGGAAGGTCCTCCCACCCCTCTCCCCCACTGTACCTCGTCGTACCCCTGTAGCACAAGAATCTAAGGGACCACTTCCTCTACATCAGCTCCCTATTCCACTTCCTCCACCTCCTCCTCCACCCACTTCCACCTGCCTGTCAATTACCCACATTCAGAAACCAGTCCCCCCTCCACCTCAGCACATCATTAAAGCCTCACATCCACCAGCCCCACTTCAGGACCCTCCTGTCCCTAAACCAGAGCCCCCTGCCCATAACCTGAACACCCCGACCCGACCACCAGAGGAGCCCGTACAACAACCCAAAGTCCTGGTGTCTGTAGGCTGCCAAACAGAATATGACCCATTCTTCCCTCCGATGCAGGCATGAATCCCTGTATTTTCTGTTTTCCACACTTTCACGCTTCAGTAAAGTCTTCAGTTACTTTTCTTACATCTTTATGTGTACAGAGGACACACATTACTGTCGTAACTATTTGGATGTTGGGTCGTTTCAGATTATGGCCCAAGGGAAAGCTGGTGTTCCCGGTGGGCCCACAACTCAGGTCAACAAGCTGGACAACATGCTGGGTAGCCTGCAGTCCGACCTGAACAAACTAGGGGTGCAGACAGTGGCTAAAGGAGTTTGTGGTGCCTGCTGTAAGCCTATTGTTGGACAGGTGAGATTAATACAGTGTATCTGTAGCAAAAATAAAATGTTTCTGAAGAATTTCTGCAAAAAAACTGACATAACTTTAAGATTAGGAGATATGTCTACACCATGATGTGTACAAATTGTATTACAAAGTGTAAAAATCAATGTAAAGCTTCTGTCTCTCACTCCCTGACTACCAAATGATAGGCAGGTAAAGCATTTCCTGCAAAGTGAACCTCAAACAATCACTGTGTGAAAACAAGTCAGATCTTCAAATTCTTGAACGATGATCAGCAAAACTCTGATGGCCACATGGTTCATGTTTCCAAATGTTTTATTTATCACTTCCGGTTTTGAAGTAAATATAGTATTTTGAGCTCAATTATAACTGGATTCTGTTGAATCGTGGGTATTCACTCTGCATTCTGGGGGGGTTTGAGTGAAAACTGCAAGTCATAGATCAGTGAGACAAACTGGGAGGAAGGAGATGAAAATACCTACATTTTGATGTATAATTTGTTTATTAACCAAAAAGAATTATGAGAGTAAGAAGAAATTTTTTGCAAAACTATAGAAAATTGTACAAAATTCCAAAGTCAKTGTGTGACATTACAGGGAAAAATCTGTAGCAGATGCCAAAACACCAGTTGATCTGAAACACTGTAATACCACGTGTTTTTCAGCCCTACACTCACCCCCCTTCAGGTTTCAGTGTTTCTGCACGTTTAGACTGCATACTGAACCATCTCGTCCCCTCTCAGGTGGTGACTGCCATGGGCCGCACGTGGCACCCTGAACACTTTGTGTGCACACACTGTCAAGAAGAGATTGGCTCCAGGAACTTTTTCGAGCGAGAAGGCCAGCCTTACTGTGAGAAAGATTACCATCATCTGTTCTCTCCTCGATGCTACTACTGCAATGGACCCATACTGGATGTAAGTCAGCTCCACACCTGTGGGCTCTGTTCTATAGTTCTCCGTTTAGAATAAGTGTTGTCGTGTCACGTTCAGAAAGTTGTGACGGCGCTGGACAGAACCTGGCACCCTGAACACTTCTTCTGCGCTCAGTGTGGATCCTTCTTTGGCCCAGAGGGTATTGTTTTTTTTTTCCTACACTCTGCTTTTGCATTAAATACAGAGTAATAAACAAATTCTTCTGTGTTACTTTTGAAGGTTTTCACGAAAAGGATGGAAAAGCGTACTGCAGGAAGGATTACTTTGATATGTTTGCACCGAAGTGTGGCGGCTGTGCCAGAGCCATTCTGGAAAACTACATCTCTGCGCTCAGCAGTCTTTGGCATCCAGAGTGTTTTGTTTGCAGGGTTCGTATCACACGTTCATGTCACGACAAAGATTGTATGCCTCTCAGAAAAACTAGAACCTTGAATAACAGTGTGTTTACCAGGGTTCTTATAGTTAACTAAAACTAGCTAAATAACAAAAACTGAAATTGAAAAAAACATTTTAGTTAACTAAAATAAATGAAAACTAACAAAATGAAAAAATGATAACTAACTAAAACGTATAATCTTTTTACAAAACCACCATATTTATTCAAGTATAATACGTAAAATTAAATCCATAATATCATCCATAAAGTTGGGGGGTAGTACWATACTCGGAWAAATATTTTTACTTATGTATTTTAACCGAAATATTGGCTTCATTCACAAAATGCCAGAGTCCGGAAATGAGACCACGACGTGAAAATCAGTTGAAACGAGCTTACCTCTAACACTCCTTCGTGCTTCAGAGCGAGATAATAACAGATCCAGACAGGTGACATGATGTGAAAAAAGGCAGTCCTTCACCTTAGTAATGCTAATGAGCTAATGACATTAGCGTGTGACCGGGCTGCTGCTGGAACAACAAACACATGTTCGTCTGTAATGGCTGCCGTCTACCGGTGTTCTGAAAAAGTTTGTATCCCTGAAAAACGTTTCCCCACCAGAGGGGGCGCTCGCGAGTAGGAAGTAATCTGCTTTTCCCCCACAAGATGGCCCAAATCTCATGTGAAGTCTCTGACTTTTGTGTTGGTGCCTCCTGGTGGATTGTGTGTAAAATGCCAGAGTTTATATGATGCTGCTACAGCTGATATATATGTTGTCAAAATACCTTTTAGTACATATGTTGTTAAAATAAAATGAACAGTCCAATGATCATTTTACTGATATGTGTAAAGACTGAAAAGGCTGAAAAATCTTGAAGTCTGTATGAAATTGGAGGTAGTTTGAGGATTAATTTTTTTATGCTTTTTAAGCTAAAAAAAAAAAAAGGGCGGGATCGTATTAGACATGAGATCGTATTAGACATGAGATCGTATTATACATGAGATCGTATTATACACGAATAAATACGGTAAGTAAAACTAACTGACATTATAGTTAGAATATCCTTAGTTTTAGTGTTTGTCAATTTATTTTGAGCCATGTGGATCTTTTTTATTTTATTTTTTTAATCGAGTAGTTTCACATTAGCTGTGGGCCGTAACATTTGTTTACTGTCTGCTGCTCAGCATCATCTGCCAAATGACGAGAAAACGGCAATGTCCACTTTGGGATTTCTTTGAATATGACTGTGAGAAAAATAAAAGCAAGTCTTGTAGTGGAAACAKGTGATAAAACAGGTGGAATAATTTTCAAGGGAAAAACAGCATGAATCAAGCTCACACAAGACGACTAACTATGAGTATCGTGGCACACTGGCTTCTCTCAGTAGCTCACGTGAAAAACAAGCAGCAGGTAGCCCCGGGTTGGAGACAACTATTGTCATCGTCCTAAAATAATCTCCCTTAGTTGGCTAAATTGAGTTACACAATAATTTTAGGAAGGTGTCGCTGTAATGGACTGCTTTAATTAGTGAGCAAATAGCTGTTGGTTAGTTAACTCACAGTCACATCACAAGCTTGAGGATGCATTGGCAAATATGTTTATTCAAACTATAAAAAAGTAATACTAGACCTAATAAAAACAAAACTAAAACTAAGCATTAAAAATGCAATAATAACTAATAAAAACTAGCAAACCCACTGTAAAAACTAACTAAAACTAACTGAATTAAAAGAAAAAAGTCACAACGAAATAAAACTAAACTATAATGAAAAATCCTGAACTATTGTAACCTTGTTGTTTCCGTGCAGGAGTGCTTCACACCGTTTGTGAATGGCAGCTTCTTCGAGCACGATGGCCAGCCCTACTGTGAAGTGCACTACCACGAGCGCCGCGGCTCCCTGTGCTCAGGCTGTCAGAAGCCCATCACGGGCCGCTGCATCACCGCCATGTCCAAGAAGTTCCACCCGGAGCACTTTGTCTGCGCCTTCTGCTTGAAGCAGCTCAACAAAGGCACCTTCAAGGAGCAGAACGACAAACCCTACTGTCACAGCTGCTTCATCAAGCTGTTCAGTTAGAGAGAGCCAATCACAGCACCGTGTTTCTGTCAGGCTTTAGATACAGGTCGGAGTCATTTCACTACAAGTGGTGTGAAGCAAGTTGTCTGATAATGGTGTTGGAAGTGTGTACAGGTTGGGTTTGTTCATGTTGGTAAAGTAGCATACTGCCTGACTAAATGTTTTGTTTTTGTCATTCTAAAGTAAAAAAAAAAAGTATACTCTGACAGCAACATACTTTGAAGCTGTTTAGAGTTTGTTGATGAATGTGATGCAGACATAGTCAGCATTTTTTATGACGTTGAAAGTCTTTTCTAAATGCCAGAAAAGTGCTGTTTTTGTACAGCAAGCAGAAGACAAAACATTTATTTCCTGTCTCCAAGCATGTGTCGGACTCTTTCCAAAGATACAGAGCGAGCGGTCGTTCTTTGATTTAACCCTGGAATCGTCGCGTCCTCAGCTCATTGTTTCATCATTTCAGAAAGGTGGAGTTTGTACTGATCTCTGACACTGAAATCTATGAAGAACTGTTTGTGTGTGTGTGTGTGTGTGTGTGTGTGTGTGTGTGTGTGTGTGTGTGTG